CAATACACCACGTGGGACAACCTCTCCCCAGCGATGCCTTCTGAGATTGCCTCGGTCCCCCCTGGCTGATGTGGTTGAACTCGGGTGTAGGCATTACGTGATGAACTTCGCATCGTACGTTTTGCCCAAGGAGATGCAAAAGCCGATGAAGCCGCCTCGATTGATGATCAGCGACGAGGCGTGGCCCCGAGTGTGTGAAGGTTTGTTGGGGAATGGGGTGTGCATCGCCCTGAAAGAGACTGAGCTCTATCATGTGGATGATCGACCCCTCCTAAACGGACTCTTTGGAGTCCCCAAGGGGGAGGAAGAAGGAGGACACCCCATTCACCGGCTGATTATGGACCTTCGACCGGCGAATCTCGTGTGTCGTGGCATCGATGGCGACGTTTCCACGCTGCCCACCTGGGCTACGATGAGCCCACTACAGCTTATGCCGGCTGAGGATCTAGTCGTGTCGTCCGAGGATGTTCGTTGTTTCTTTTATATTTTTCAGGTTCCTCGTGAATGGTCGATTTTCCTTGGCTTCAACAAACCCATCCCACGTGATCATTGGCCAGATGATGATGGGCCCTACTACTTAGCGTCACAGGTGCTTCCCATGGGGTTCAAAAATAGTGTGAGCTTAGCACAGCACGTACACCGTGCAATGGTGAGACGTGCGGGGGGGGTTAGTTGAAGAAGGGCTCAAGCCAGAGCAGGAGATACGGAAGGACAGGTCGTTCTCGTCGTCTTCAACCCTGCACCGAGTTTACCTTGACAACTTTGATTCCCTGGAGAAACTGGACAAGAAGACAGCAGAGCTCCTAAAGGGGGAGCCCAGTGCCAGTATCCTGGCACTTCGCTCGGAATATGAGCGTTGGGGAGTGCCTCGACACCCCAAGAAAGGAGTAGCCCGTTCCCTGAAGGCAGAGGTACAGGGGGCCATCATTGACGGAGTGAAGGGGATAGCCTATCCGAAGCCGGCGAAAGTGCTAAAGTATGCACAGCTTGGAAGTCTCCTTTTGGGGGAGAAGAGGTGCTCAGTGAAGCAAATTCAGATTGTCGCAGGAGGCCTGGTGTACATGAGCATGTTCAGACGCCCGTTGCTGGGCTCCTTGAATGCAGTGTGGCGCTTCGTTCAGGAGTTCAAGCACTATCCCCCTGTGATCAAGCTGGAGATCCCTCATGAGGTCAAGCTGGAGATTGCCAGGTTCATTGCGCTAGTTCCCCTGGCGCAGATGGACTTCAGATTGGAGGTGAGTCCCGAGGTCACCGCGAGCGACGCTTCAACGAGCGGAGGAGGTCTCACCCGGAGCGTTGGCCTTACAGGCTTTGGAGAGGCAGCCGCCAGGGCCAGTGTGCGAGGAGATGTTGCTGGACCGTCTGATCTGTGTTCGGTCCTCACCGTGGGGCTCTTCGATGGGATTGGGGCATTGAGAGTAGCGGCGGACGCTTGTGGGTTCCCGGTCTTGGGTCACATCAGTGTTGAGGTGAAGAAGGAGGCCAGCCGTGTCCTGGAGAGCAAATTCCCCGCTACCCTGTTCGTTGAAGGCGGAGTGGAGGCTGTGGACTCGGAGATGGTCCGTGGTTGGGCCGGAAGATTCTCACAGGCTTCATTAGTTCTCTTGGGTGCTGGACCACCATGCCAAGGCGTGAGTGGATTAAACAGCGACCGTCGAGGTGCCCTGAAAGATCACAGGAGCTGTTTGTTCAGTCACGTGCGTCGCATTAAGGAGCTCTTGAAGGCCCATTTTCCATGGGCACAAGTCAGGTACTTGGCAGAGAGTGTAGCCTCCATGGATCGCAAAGACCGCGAGATCATATCGCTCGACTTTGAGGACACCCCCGTCAAGATCGAGGCCAGTGGAGTGTCGTTAGCCCGACGCCCTAGGCTATATTGGCTGGACTGGGAGCTGCAACCAGGTCCAGGCGTGCGCTTTCATCCACGAGTTGACCACGGGATGGCATCATACCAGGAGGTTGAGTTGCAGGCCGTGATCGACCCCAAGGACTTCCTAGAGGCCGGCTGTGTAAAGACCTCCGAGGAGCCCTTCCCCACGTTCACCACCTCTCGGCCGACCAGCAGGCCTGGAGGAGCTGACGCCAGAGGAGAGGACCGCTTGGGAAGGGGACAAGTTTCGCTTCCCGCCGTACCAGTACTCCCATCGCCTGTTGGTGAGAGAGGGGAGTGGCTTGTGCCGAATTCCATCTATACAGGAACGGGAGACGATCATGGGATTTCCTCGCAACTACACAGTGCATTGCATGCCCAAACAGCAACAAGGAAGTGAAGCACATGAAGACGAAAGGAAATCCTTGATAGGCAACAGCTGGAATGTGACAGTGGTAGTGTGGTTGCTCTCGCAACTTGGTCACCTGCTAGGGCTTTGCCGAGCAAAGTCACCCCAAGAGGCTGTGGAGGCAACACGGCCGGGGGGCCGCTACGACAGTGGGAGGAGTGCTGCAGCGACAAGCCATGAGGCGAATCAAGCGGACTGGGAGCGAGGGGGAGTACGAGCTTGTCTCAAAACTCCTGAACATGGTCAGCCTAAAAGGAGAGGACATCATGATCCAGGCACCCAGTGAGGAGACACTTCGCTACCATCGATTGAGGGCCAGCTTGCCATCAGCACTGTGGAAGTGGAAGACGGTGATGGGTTGGCCATGGAAGGGGTCTCCAGAGCACATTAATGTGCTTGAGATGAGGGCAGTGCTTACCTCTCTCCGCTGGCGCATTGTGAAGAAGAAGGCGTTGCGAACAAAATTCGTGCACTTAGTGGACAGTTTGGTGTGTCTCCACTCCTTGTCTAGGGGACGCAGCAGCAGCAGAAAGCTTCGTCGAACGATGAGTCGGATAAATGCTTTGCTCCTTGCCAGTGGCTCACATGGCGTGTGGGCTTATGTTCACACGAAAGAAAACCCCGCTGATGCGCCCTCGAGGCGCCCCGTGAAGAAGAAATGGTGAGTCATAGCAAAGCATACATAGAAGGCAAAGACAAAGCATCCCGACAACAGCAAAGGCGAGCATTGGGGCCGTTGCGCCACCTAGCAGTTCAGCCCGCTACCCGTGCACGATATGACAAGGCTCTTGAAAGATTTCGCATTTTCCTTCGAGAGGAGAGTAGAAGGTTCCCAGATGACCCCTCAACGCTTGATTTTTGGCTAAGCCATTACATTGAATTCCTTTGGGAAAGTGGAGAAGGAAGAGCGCTGGCCTGTGATTCCATTGCAGCAGTCCAAGACTACCGGCCATCGGCTAAGGGGAGGCTTCCATCCTCCTGGAGGCTGATGAAGACGTGGTCTTCCACTGAGATTCCTAGTCGTGCACCGCCACTCCCCACAGAGGCTTTGGACATTCTCGTTGGTTACAGCTTGTTCAAGAAGGATGACCTCTTTGCCCTTTCTCTTCTGCTAGGTTTTCATGGACTTCTTCGAACTGGCGAGCTGTTGGGAATCAAAAAGGCACATATAGAACAGAAAGGGCCCCGAAGTGTTGCAATAGTTTCTCTAGGATTGACCAAGGGTGGGCGGCGCCAAGGTGCCGCCGAAAGCGTCACGATCCGTGAAGAAGACACTTTAAGACGGTTATGGCAATGGAAAAACACCCCAAGTTCAAGACCTTCACTCTGCGAGGCTGCTCATGTCTGGCGAAAGAAATTTTCTGAGTACTTGGAGGCAACAGGGCTCAGTGAGCATTCTTTTAGGCCCTACAGCCTGCGAAGGGGAGGCGCCACCTCCTATTTTGCAAAACACGGGTCGCTAGACAAACTGCTCATAGCAGGTAGATGGCAGGCGGCAAAGACCGCAAGAATATATATTAATGAAGGACTCGCAGTCCTTGCGGAATTTCAATTGGCAACCAATGCAAGGGCTAAAGCCTTTCGAAGACAGTATGAAAGGTCTAAATCTTTGGAGCTCCAACCCCTTGAGCATGCCCGAATGGGCAGGACTGGGGGAACTGGAAGGAAGCACAAGAAACCCAGGAAGTGAACTTTTGTTTTGAATTCGAACACCGCCGGCGGTATAAAAATGCTTGATGGAACAAAGGAAAGGGGGGTGGGGGCCTGGACGTTCCCCGGTGTGGCGGGGCCCAGGACACCCCCGAGTTCCTGGCTCACTGTATCCTCGGGGTGGCGAGGTACAGTGGGGGGACTCGGGCCAGGGAGGCCCTGAAAATACCAGTTTATGCATGAATTCCTTTTACACATTGACCAACTAGGTCTGCACTGCAAGGTGAAAACAGTCAACCGCTGTGAGTCTTTGATCTCACGACCACGTTAGTTAAGACGAATTAGGTTGACCTGATTTTCCCGAAGGGTTTGGGCTCTCAGCCCCTCCCTTCCCACCCGCTTCGTGCCCAGGAGAAGGAAGCACAAGAAACCCAGGAAGTGAACTTTTGTTTTGAATTCGAACACCGCCGGCGGTATAAAAATGCTTGATGGAACAAAGGAAAGGGGGGTGGGGGCCTGGACGTTCCCCGGTGTGGCGGGGCCCAGGACACCCCCGAGTTCCTGGCTCACTGTATCCCCGGGGTGGCGAGGTACAGTGGGGGGGACTCGGGCCAGGGAGGCCCTGAAAATACCAGTTTATGCATGAATTCCTTTTACACATTGACCAACTAGGTCTGCACTGCAAGGTGAAAACAGTCAACCGCTGTGAGTCTTTATATATGATGTCAGTGGTTACACTTGGCACTTGGATGAGGGGTAGGATATATAGATCAGTCTTGCAACTGGCCACAGAATCACATTGCTTGTTTTCTCTCAGAGATGCTAATCTCGACCGGTAGGCAGCCATCAAGTCACACATGGAAACTGTTACGATGGCTGATGGCCTCAAAGAAACTCATGTTTGTCGTTTTTTCTGAGCGGAAAAATCTGGCAGAATTATGAGGATCTTCCAAATCGAAATCTGAGACACTCATGTCGGACCGCTCGTGTCCTTCCGGGTTTTGTCCAGGTCGGCATTGGAGTGACGGAGGCCGAAGTGACTGAACTTCTCCGAGGCCCGGTAGTCTGCCTATGAACACCATGAAGCTGAGAAGCTTAAGAGAAGTTGCCAAGCACTTCAGAACAAAACGTCGCAGGTTTGTGAACAATCACTTCTCGATTCATGAGCTGTGAACTGCATGAAGCGGTACGTATTTGCGGTACGCAGTTGAGGTGTTTGATGTGCACAAACTACCCAACTCCAAGGGCTATCGACGTGCTACTGCCAGCCGAGATGCGGCGAGATGCGATCGACGCACCACCGCCAGGTATGGATGTGCACGGTTCGGGCACGCTGGACCTGGATGAATGGTTGCCGGGTGTCCTGTCAAACCGCTGAGCTGCAGCTGGAGATCAACCGGGAGATGTCGCGTCTCAGCAGAACGACCACAGAACTGGTGGTTTTCTCGTTTGGTGCACCAATGCCAAAGAGAGACCCTTTTCCTCGTTGGATTCACCTTCGATCGGGGGTCGACTGGGGGAGACCCTTCCCCACCACATCAGGGGTTTGCCGCAAAAGAGCTGTTCATGTCAGGGTCCTGATTCTGAGGAATAAAGCTCTTGGACTTGTTGATCACATGTGACAATGAACATGTTTTTTGTTGCGCGAAAAGACGGAGGCGCCAGCAACAAAGTGGAAAAGACTGGAATGGGATGCCTCATCTTCAATGGGTCATACCCGCAGACATCCGCAGACGCTGACTGATTTGAGATGCCATGACAGGAAGGGGTTCCTCGGGGTTTGCACACAATTTCCCTCACTGGGGCGTCCATTCGTGTTTGACAGAGACTACGGTAACAGTTTGGAAGATTAACATGGAGCCTGAAAACCACTGGTTTGTAGAGGAAGATCGTCTTCCAGTCTGGTCCATTTTCAGGTTCCATGTTCATTTTCCCGGGTGTATACTGGACTTTAACACTGACAGGTCGCCAGTCAAGTCCGATCGTTTTGGCACCCGGTCGGACGGCCCGACACAACGGCCGAACTGCGGGATTTTTGGGGGTCCAGAGACCTGATGCTTTGGGATCGTCCCGACCTGCTCGTACCTAGAGAATCTGGCAGCGTTGATGTTCGCCGTCATGACAAAAACAGAGATTCTTTTCTTTTTTGCGGCAATTGAAGAAATACGCCGCTTGGCCAGAAACACGCCGCGACTTGTTTTTAGCAAGCTTCACAAAAACACACCACACACTGACACGGGCAAACACGCTGCAACATGCTGCAAACACGCTGTCTTCTTCGTTCGACTTAAGGTCCCAACCCCGGAGTTGAGTCAAAATGCAATGAGCGGCATCGAACATTTGCCAGTAGAGTCTGTGGGTACAATTATAGGATGAATCTTCTGACTGGTGCGACGAAAGTAGGGAATGAGGGAAGTTTCACCCCAATAGAGATTCCTTTGGATCCAGCCACCCTCATTCCCTGGATAGAGCAGTTCAACGCCTCAAAGGTCCCACCCACCACAACCCGACGCTGCGCCGCACTGGGCAAACCACACGCGCCGTAACCCGCGCCGCGTGTGGGTTCCACACGCCGCGGAACAAGGCGTGTCTTACGGGGCCCCTTGAGCCCTGCGCGAGCTGCGGTGGTGCGGGAGGCCATCACAGTGGGGGTGAACATAGACCCACCATGACCCACCTATAGCCATTGGGGCAGGCGATCTCCTGAAGCAATGATGGAAGTGAATGGCATGGCCCGATTTTCGGTTCATGGACTTCGAATCACAACCACAGGTGGAAGTCACGGCTTCAGGGACGGAGCTGACCTTTTTGCGGCCCTGAACCCAACCATTTCGTTGGTTGGGCTCGGTAGTCGTAGGGTTGCAAGTGTCATCATTTCGTTGGAACTTACCGTAGAGTCCACCAGGCCTAGGGTGTATGTCACAGGGGGAGAAGCGACTTCGATACCACAGTCCAGGTGAGGATCTCACGGTCAAGTAAGCGCCAGTTTCCCGAGTTGGAGTTAGATCTGTTCTCCGACCTTCCTTTCATTATCCTATGATATAATCATCTGATCATCTTATGATTTTCTCATGAACCTTTGAGCGGGACTGATGTTTTCTGCTGTTCATTGTACACAGAGCCGGGTCAATGACCCTTCAACCTCCAAGGTGCTAGTTGTGGCCACCCTTTAGGTGGTTCAGGACCAGTTCTTGTAAAGAAGAATGGGGCTGAATTCAGGACCAGTTCCAAGTCAAAGGACCCCACCTTATGAAGAGGTTGATGTGAAGAGATATTAAGCAAATACGATGTCAGATATGAAGCAAAGGCGCCTTGAAGCATGACAGTTTGACTGATGAAGCGATGGATCCCCCCTGTTCTCAGGTTTTGCACCGTCCACCCTCCAAAAAGGCTAGTAGTAGCAGTATGTAGCAGTAGTAGTAGTGGTAGTAGCAGTAGTAGTAGTAGTAGCAGTAGTAGTAGTAGTGGTAGTAGTGGTAGTAGTACCATGAATCAATCACCGCCACTTGTGCAGAAAGAAACTGGCAAACCATGGAGAACCACTAAGAAGCCTTGCATCAACTGCCACAAATCATCAAACTGGCAACCACTAACGAGGTGATGGAAGGCCAGTCAAGAGCTCACTGGCGCAAGTTCGGTGGATCCCTGGCGCCGGTCCTTTTCTGCAGCTGTTCTGTGCCAAAACGATGGATGTCTCTGGAGCCTCGCATCTCTCCCCGAGGCCTTTCGACAGACACGGGATGGACCTTTGAGCGGCAGCGTCGCCGGGGCGAACTGAAACGGATTTATCGAGCTTTTCTCTTGCTTCCAATGACTCCGGTGAGTTTTGTTTACGCTTCACAAGTTGTTGGTCATTATGTCGTTATGTTTGTTTTCAAAGCGACACTAGCTTTGTAGCTCAGTGGATACAATCCATATTCCATGGGATTTCCTCAACAGCAACACTCGATACCACCTTTTGTTTTGACGTTATGATGTTTTAAGGAGGACAGTCCTGCCGCATCCTGCCATCCTTTTTGTCCGTCCCTCTTGTGTCTCAAAACTGCACTGCACCCTAAGTGTCCACATCAACAGGGTCCGATCCTTGACATGATCACTAATCCAGGTTATCCTCATTCAACGTGTCCGATCGAACGAGACCACGATGACCACGACCGGAGAAAAACATGTCAGGCATGATGATGAAGCCTCTGATGCCGAGAGCGTCAGTGCTGCGAGCGCGCGATCCGCCTCGAGCTTGTTGTCCAGGAGGGATCCTTCTTTTTTGTGGGACAGCTGAGGTGATCGGGTTTCTCTTTGGGGGGGTCGTTGGCCTTGAACATCTCAAGATCGTGTGGTGGGTTTGTTGCGGACCAGTAAAAGCAAGCTGTGGGTGTCGGACGCTTCGGGTGTGGGAAGAAGAACAGCAGGTTCGGAAATGATGAAGCAGGGTCCTTCGTGGTCTCTACGCCTTTACGCATCTCAAGGTGGGCTCCTACTTTGTCTGTGCATTCAAATTGGTAAGTATCCTTTGAATGTCAAGAGGGCCTAGCTGCCTAGCTGAGTCAATTGGATCCTGTGGCCTTTCTTGCGGGATCTCTTCATTTCCATCAGGGTTTGTTTTCTCATGTGATTTCCCAGGTGTAGGTTGGCCATGGATGTTCAACCAGATATCCAACTGGTATTACATGCTCCAAAACCATGTGGCTTTCAAAGTCTGACCTTTTAATCGTAGTTTCATACAGCGTTCAGCCACCCGAATTGCATTCAAATACTGACTTGGGCCTCTATATGTTCTTTTTGGGTTGCAAGGTGTCGGCCAACATGTTGACTATCACATAGCACCGTTCCCTCTATGTCAAATGGACACGATACCCCAGCAATTCGGAAGAATTTACTTCAACACACTTCGAGCGAGTTCCCCACCCCAAAGAGGCTTATCCAAAATAGATGTTCTGTCTTTTTGAAGACCAATCGACCGAGGGCAGGATGAGAGGTGATGTAGTATACAGTATGCAGTCGAGTTGTTTTCAGAGGTCATGATCATCCTGTGAGGGAAAACGGCAAAGAAGCATCTTCTCGCACTGATGACCCAGGGACCCAGGGTAGTGAAATCTCAGTGATCCTAGGGTAGTGGAAGCTTGCACATGGTCCTCCCAGCTTTATCTACTTGGCATGACTTTTGTCATGAAAGTTCGAAGCCTCATACAAGAAGATCTGAGAGGGGACCAATTCGTTCCCTCTCAATTCGGTCCCTCTCAAGTGCCTCCCCCCTCTTCCTCCTCTTTTTCTCCTCACTCCTCGGTTCGCTTCAGGAGATCACAGGGGCGCTCCTCTGGAATGAACATCTCCACAGGCACCGGGTCGCAGGCGCGCCGAGCCGCTCTCCGGTGGCTCGGTTCGGAGCGGGTTGGTTCGGAGCGGTCGATGTCGGAGGCCGGGCCGAGAAGGGAGCGTCCACGACTCGTGGGGGGATAAAGTCGAGTTCCGCAACTGCGCAGGATTCCGCAACTGTTTGGTCGGATTCCGCAACTGGGATTCCGCAACTAGGATTCCGCAACTAGGATTCCGCAACTAGGATTCCGCAACTAGGATTCCGCAACTAGGATTCCGCAACTAGGATTCCGCAACTAGGATTCCG